AAGAGAGAGAGAGTATGTGTGTGTGTGTGTTTGTGTGTGTGTGTATGACAAGGATGAGTATATATGTGCAAGGTGTGAGGGGGTGGGGGGTATATATAGAGAGAAAAGAAAGAATGTGAATGAGTCAGTTGGCTTATTATAAAATAAATTCCCTTCGGCGAGAACTCATATATTTTTTGTCTTTATTTTATACTCACACAGATGGCATCAAACCAACATAAGCCTAAGTGGACAATTGACGATCTGACGAAAGCACTGGATGAGGTGAAAAATGGTGCGCCAAAGAGATCAACGGCCGAAAAATATGGCATACCGTGGAGTACTTTCTGTGACAAGGCGTCTGGACGACGGAAAATAGAACAACATCAAAAGACAGTTCTCACAGCAGAAGAAGAAAGGGATATTGTAACTTATGTAAAACAAATGGGGGACCGAGGTTTTGGGAAAACGAAAGATGAGCTACTCTCCGTGGTGAAGCAAATGTTGGACTACAACAAAAGGGAAACCATTTGGGATGACAACAAACCATCAGACAAATGGTTTAGGCTGTTTCGGAAACGACATCCCGAGATCGTCTTCAGAAAACCTCAACTGCTTGGGAAGCAAAGGGCTGTTGTGTCACGTGGTAATATCATGACCTGGTTTCAAGAATTTCGTGAGGCAATTATGACCATTGACCCTTCCATTTTGTTAGAGCCGGACTGCATTTATAATTGCGAAGAATCAGGATTCAGCCTGAACTCTGTAACTGGCAGAGTCCTCTCGAACCTGGGCACAAAATTTGTGTACCAGATAGGCAGTGAAGCAAAAACGCTCATCACTGCACTGGTCTGTTGCAGTGCAACTGGCCATTACACGTGGCCAATGCTCATCTACCCAGGCACTCAGTTTCGTGGATTCAAACCAAATGAAGTTTTCAACGATTCTTTTATTGGAAGGTCAGAGAATGGGTGGATCAATCAGGGCCTCTTCTTTGAGTGGATGCGTTTGGTTTTCATTCCCCAGACAGCCAACGTCAAAAAGCCAATCTTGCTGCTTGTGGATGGCCATGTGAGCCACCAATCCTTACAAGTCTCTGAATTGTGTCGAGACAATGGAGTGGTACTGTATTGCTTACGGGCACATTCATCCCACCTCCTTCAGCCGTTGGATGTTGGTGTTTTTAAGACCATGAAAGGGGAGTGGAAAGCAGCAGTGAAGGCACAAAATGAAAGTGAAATCATCACAAAGAGAACATTCGCAAAAACTTTCAAAGTAGCATATGAAGCAACAGTTTCGAAATCTTTAGCTGAAAGTGCTTTCAGGAAATGTGGAATTTACCCGTACGACCCTGAAAACATTGACTGGAGCAAAAGTCACACCCAGCTCTGGAGCAACTGATCCTGCCACAAATGTTCAGCCCGTCGCCACCACTGCCCCCCACGTTCCACCTGTCACTGCCAACACCTGGAACATGCCACCTGTACCTGTCAACGCTCCCAGCATGCCACCTGTACCTGTCAATGCTCCCAGCGTGCCACCTGTACCTGTCAACGCTCCCAGCGTGCCACCTGTACCTGTCAACGCTCCCAGCGTGCCACCTGTACCTGTCAACGCTCCCTGCGTGCCACCTGAACCTGTCAACGCTCCCAGCGTGCCACCT